CTTAGTCAATGGTACATTCATTTTTCATATTTAAAAACTTAATGATTCGGATTTAACTCAGTGAAGTTATTAGGTATGTTAGGACTAGCAGTCTTCAGTCGATTCCACCTTTGATTGAGTTATACGAACATGAGAAAAGCGGACGCCTGCTCCCCTCTTTCCATATTTCTATCTTTCATGCATTTTATAGACAATGCTTCATTTTATATTTACTTGCCTGATCTTTGTAATGTCCTTCACTAGAAATCTGTTTAACTCATTCTCTCCACATAGGTAATGTGACCTTCCAATATTTGCTCAATTGGCAAAATCATATTTCCAAATTATTCAGTTTAGCAATGCGTTCTGAATTTCAAAATTAAGAACCATACACTTTAATATTTTTGAACACGGAAATATAGGTCGATGGAATACCTATAAGTAAAAAATGTCGAATAAAGATGTCATTGTGCAATGACCACCTGATATCAAAGTTTTGAATTCAATTAGTTTTCGATCCAAACCCCTACTCCTCATTGTTTTATTTAATACTGGCATGTTGTGGATACTATACAACATGCCTTTACCAAGCAAAAACGATCTGCTCTGTCAAAACCCCACGTATAAACTTGCTTCCAAAATTAGATAGGCTACCTCAATAGTAACGTAGAAACGTAAGCCACGAAATGATTTGTGTTACCTTGCAGTTTAAGTTGTGTAAACTACCCAGGTTATCTCGATTCAATGTTAATTTACGCTTTGGAAAATCGATTATTTCATTGAGATTTTTTATACGCACGGTCACACTAGAGTGTTCTATTGCAAGTGACTACTTTTATCGGCCTTGATAGAGTTGGGAACTCCACAAGTGAAAAGCTTCCAATTATTCGAAATTACGAAATCATTCTGTTTGTTTGTGGGTCGCCGCAGTAACGCCCATTTGCTCTTCAAGGAAAGAGTTTGATTGAGGAATATATTTCCGCCAGCATCAATTTTTATTGGACGGGAAAATAAGTGAGGGTTTACAATCTTTCACTGGCTAGTTTATTTTAGTTTTGTGTTTTCCTGTTAAATTATCCCCAATGTTAGCTATGCAAATAGGTCGAATATGTACCCGAACTCAAAGGTGATGGATGTCTCGTCTTTCTTTAGAACTATTTATCATTCATAAGTGGATAGAAAGGATATAGGTGAAAGAGTTGACCAACAAGAGCTGAAGATAATCTGAGTTGACGGGTGGTAGAAACAAAGGAGAAAGTGCGCCAGGCTGAAAACAAGATTCCACCCGGTATTTGTAGTCGGTCAGTGGTCAACTGAAATGATTAAAGGACCGTAAAGATCCAAAAGAACCTACAACCGCAAAAACTTCTACTAGCAGTCCTTTCAAAATGGTCAATAAACTTGTCCTCTGTCGATATTTCTGGTTAAGTGGGATTCTAGGTGAATTCGCCACGGAAATGGTGCATGAAACAAACTGTTTGGTTGTGAGTAGAGTGGAACCTACAGATGAAGCTAACGAGGCAATAGGATTTAAAATTATGAAATGCCCAAAGACCAAATGTGATTTAAATTAAATTTCGAGTGCAACTTGATCAAAAAATCATTGAGCCTCCTCTTCATTACGGTTTGTCAACTATTGTCAATCTCAAAGTGGCCAACGACAACTTAACGTTTGTTTACAACACAATTCGGTGGACGATGCTGAGTCTGTACAGCAGGCGCTGAGTGTCAAAGTGATGACCGAAAAGGTTTCTTCGAGAAACCCATCTGCACTAATTACAGAAGCGTAGGCCGAAACCTTCAGCATGACTGTGTAAATAGGCGTAAATAGAGTCGCCTGAATACATTTGTTCAAAGAAGTTACAAAAGAACTGTTTAGCATAGCTTAATACCTAACCTCAAACGAAAATTCCTGGAGTATACTCCAGGTCCAAGATTTCAGAGAATTAAAATTTTTAGGTGGTTCCAGAGTTGTGAATATGGACTTCCACCGGCTAAACGCCCCACTACATTCAACCATTCTCTGAATTTTCAACATTTCAGATGTTGGTCATCTTAGGACCTCAAATAACTTAAATCTGGGTCGTGAAATTCGTTTTCACTATGATATAGGAGAGTTCAAATCTCAATTGTCCCCAAACGACCTAAAACCGTTCCTTAATAGGAAGCCTGAATCTTTATGGCTAAATCGCATTCGTAGTATGAAAATTAACCCACCAAATTTATAAATACCTTAAAAGGTCGTGGTGGTTAAAATAGCCAGAAATGTCAGTTCCCACTTATGACAGACCAAATTCACATCTTAAGGGAGTTCGACCAATAAAGGTCAATCTGAAAGTAGTAAAGAAAGCAGTGCCTTTGAACTGCCTCCCAAGTTCGCCGCTCATTGAGTGCAATAATGTACTAAGTTTCTGAATTCGAAAAGAACCATTAGTGCGAGTAGAGGAATCGGTAAATGGGAGATACTGACAGCGGTTCTTCACATTGTTTGCCAGAATTTCTATTTCTAGACTGGATGTGTGAGAAATATTAAAAGGTGGACTCCTAGAGCAGAAGAATAGAATAAAAGAATAAGAAATATGAAATTCTAGATAAAGCTTTCCCGAATGAACAGTTATGCAACTTAGAGGACAATACAGTAAGTTATAAGAAGGAAGTTTTAGGATCCAGAGAACTCTCACTTAGAAGGTAAGCATGCGGCTTCTATAGATGATCACATATAGGGTAGAAATTGGGATCTTTTGAACATTTTTTGTGAAATGGCTTTTGCTGTTTCTACGTCCCCTACATTTATGGAGCATTTGATGAAGTAGAGCAGGACACCACATAGACAGCCTGAAAAGCCTCTTAAGGAATTCGGGAAATCCCCTAGACTTCTTCCTCTGTTTAATAAAGCAATGCTTAAAAATTGGAAGAAGAGTCGAAAGAGAACGAAGATGACGAGGTAGAAGTTGACTCATCTTCTTTACAGCAATCTTTGTGACTGGAACGCCTGAGTACCACAGATTGACGTTTGACATCTCATTTTCGCATACACCCTTCCCAATTTCTATTGATTCTCCTCTCATGCAGTTGATAAAATGGCAATAAATTATAAAAAAGGAAAGAAAGGTAAAGAAATCGCCTGTCTTATATTTATCCTATTACAATTCAGTCATTTTTCGATAACAAACGATTACCTTCTTTTCACTTTAATTATAAATTATTCTAACTTTTGAACTCCCTACATGTGCGTCAGCGGCAAATAGGGAGCTGGATTTTGAAACTTTACATTAAAAAAGCAAGTTTCATCAATGGTGCACTAACATTGGTTTGGATACCTTGCATACTTATATTTGGATTTCGTGAGCACTGTGAGTGGATAATTCAAATAAGTCGAAATGCAATCTTGGCGAATTTACACAAGTTCAAGTTTATAAGTTCCAGGCTTATGCTTGCATTCGTCTTTAAATTAATTTCTCAATAAATGCTTTATTGATAATAACTGAATACATTTTTATTTATCCATAAACGAAATTAGATATACTCCAATGCCGACCAAAATAAATCACGGCTTCCATAATTTCACTCCAGATTAAGAATCTCATTTCGTATTGTGATATTATTGTTGTTGATTTGGTAAATTGATTCATGTAAAATAATTTTCCATTGCTCGAACGTCATGACACATTCCCAATACATAAACAACATAAGTTGGAGAGCTGTCGTGAGAAATGATTAAAAATTGTTATATCAATTGTCGAGCTTTACTGCAAATCATGAATAGAGCATACGCTTATTCGATCCTGGATAATTTGCCGAGATAGTTATTTACATTAATGACTCCCCCCTCCCCTGACAATACTTTATTTTAAATATTTCAATACATTTCGTTAATGATTTTAGATCAGAGCATTTTGGTTCACTCATTGAATTTGAAAATTGTTCGAAAATAGTCAAAGTGAAATTTCGTGCAAAGTCTTTGTGATGTCGGTTAACTTATGGAAGACGTGATATTGTTTGCTTCAACTTGTCATTTTTCTTGGCACAAATGAGCACCCAGTATAGTAGATATTGTCTTCATACATTGTTATCATGACTGACTATCGGACGAATTTACACTCTGAACCCTAAATTACAAATTTTTGATTTGGCTTAATCGGCGCATGCTGGACGCTACACAATTACCGATTTTATAATTTTCGTAGAAAATTTTCAAATATAAATTAATTATTCCTACCTCATGTCTTTAGTAAATACGTTAGATCTTGCCAACTTCCACTCGATAAGAGTTATCCGTGCAATAGCGTTGGAAAGACTTTTTAATTCCTTTGGACAAGCTTTCGTTAACGTCATATTAAAGCATAATTTTATGATTTGCATTATCTGATTCATCGCGTACTACTCACATTTACGATTCACACAATGACTTAACAGTAGGTCACACTGGCTTTAATAATGATCCGTAGAAAGTCGTGCAACCGCCACTAAATATAGTCAAGGTACATTTAAATGTAAGAAATATCATAACGTGATAACACCACATTAAGCATGTATTAAAATTTACAAAATATCACAGTTTCTGAAATGATTTGATATAATAAAAGGAAAATATTGTAAACAATGATTTAAAAGTAAAAACTTAATTATGAGGTAGATGTTTCAAAAATCACGAATGTGAAACCATTTTTTCTGTATTAGAAGATAAACTTTAACACTTAAGATAAATGGTAGGGGAAGTTGAAAATTTGATCATATCTCACAGTTCACAATAGAAAATGAAGTTACAGATTTCTTTCCGATACGTGATATACACTGGTTTGGATTCGATTGAAGAAAATGTCGATAACCCAAGTCAAAATTAGTCGAGTATTTTCTGGTAATTTAGGCGGGAGGTCAAATCATACTGCATTGTAAAAAATTACTAAATTGATTAATTTAGGCCGTAATTTTAGGTCTACTATCTCACATAATCAGGACATGCTTGGTGTAAAATCAGTTCTAAGATGGGCTTGCTGTGTGAAATAATTATGAGAAATTAATTAGTCATCGCCAGTATTTCTGACAGCCATACTTTCATCAATGCTTTGATCTGCGCCTCTGAAGGAGTCGTTGGAAAGTCCACTTCGCGAGATACTTCGCGATCGATTAGAAAGCGAAGTGGCATTTTCGAGAGAGACACCACTGGAGGCTTTCTTCTCTTCTTTGTTGGGGTATTCGATTGTTAAATCTACGATTCCATGGTTGTTGTTTTGAGTCTCAACATCTGAGCTCTATGAGGAAAGGAGGCATAAATCAATAAAGCAAAGACATGGTATTATTAGACGCCGCAAGTTATCACCAAATGTGTCTGAAATAAGAATTTCTATATGTTTTTCTCCTAAAATAGATCTGATTATCATCAAATTCTTAAAGAATTCGATGAGTAATGATGCACTGAAATGCTATATTTATAATTTTAGTCAATCAACAAATAATGTATTATGAGTGAAATTGTATCGCCGAGATTGAATTAATTGAAACAACTGAACTTTAAAAATCTTTATATCATTTCTATTCATTTTCAACTATTAATTACCGAAAACAATGATTTCATACTTTCAATTTCCAGTTTATCAATTCATAGCAACTAGCATGAGATTAAATTAATCCCAAATAAAAAATGTTGTGATAAAATTACAATAATACATCAAAAATTTTCTTCATTTAAAATATTTATAATATTGAAAATATGCTGTTTTAAGCTTGTATGAGTCAGCCTATGCAAAACTATATACCTATTACCTGTAAGTGCCTTTGAAAGTAGCTTTTTGCAAATTCAAAGTATAGAGAGATTTAGTAGTAAACAAAACTTGCCGAACTGCGGTGCGTTTCTGCAGTAGATTGGGTAGGACTCTGATCTCCTATTAGAAAAAAAACTTATAAACTTAAGTCTAGAATTTAAATATTACCTATTATTATATTATTATATATTTAATATTAAATAAATTATAGTTGAGGTCGGCTAAATAACCTGAAAATCGAACGGTATTTCGGCTTCGGTGACCCTCTTTTGTCGCCATGGACTCGTCAAGAGCTACTGCCCGAGTCTGAAAAAGAAATTTATAATGTTCTATTTCGATTAAGTGAACGAAATTTTAGCATGAGAAGTCGAGTACAACTATTCAGGACTCTAAAACTTAGCAGAACCAACTAGAATTTATGTTGCAGTGAAGATATGGCCCATACAAATATCATATCCGATGAACTTGGTTGAATTAAAACGTAAACAGCCAAATCCATTATATTACAATTCGCACATAATGAATTATAACAATTAAACATTAAATTAGCGAACTACACATTACTTATACTTTCTACAATCAAAATCTGGTGATCGGATGAAGTAGCTCTACCCACACTCTCATTTCGGTCCTCACCCTAATTCACTTGCTTCCACATACGTAAAATGATTTCAAACGTTGTCTGTATTGCTGAACATTGCTATAAAAATCGTTGGGTACGAGTCAATGAAACGATCAATAGCATTCTCTACTTGGCATTTGATCTACCTTACTATATCACGGAAAAATGCAGGAATGCTGTACTTCTCAAATAGTATCAGCATTTAATGATAAAAAAGACCTACACTGAAACGATGTTGCAGATTCTACTTAGTTATTCAATCATGTTTTAGATTCATCGTACCAATTAATCTAGATCTTGGGCATCCAAAGAAACTTTTATAGGTTTTAATATTTTTTATAGTCGGAGGCACATATAGGTCATATAAAGGAGAAATTTGATTCTGTTCTGAGTGCGATCATATTTCATGCAAGTCTTGGCAACGCCAAGGAAAGAAACCCAAGCAGATTTGTAAGGCATTTAAAGAAAGTCAGAATTCTTTAAAAACCCAGATTTTTGGTAATACGCTTTTAATTTAGACTTTTCATTTTTTTTGTCCCTAATTACAACGCAGCAATTTTAACTTCAAACGTCCAAATAACTGCTCAAAAGGTATTTCAGAATGCCTGAGTTTCAAACAACGATTTACTTACTACTGGAAACTTTAAAGTTACATGATGATGGTTTAGTATTAACAGGTCATTTAAAATATTTTTAATTACAGTTTAACCTTAAAGTATATTACTATGGAAAATTCTGAGCTGGGCTATCAAGAGAAAGACAAAATGATGTTTGAAGTAAGAAATAAATGGTCGATTACTAGATTATTGTTTGTGTATGACCGAACCATAGTAACCACTACCATATCATAATTTTCATTATCCATCGGCTCATTGTTTTCAAGGCTTTAATTTGCCAGCTTTTGGAAATTGGCAATTCTTAATAAACTTTAAGCAGTTATATCACTCTTATTGTCCATGCTTGTCCAGATGTTAAGTCTGTAATTGTGTGGAGAATTTTTTAAAGGAACTTCTTATGAGAACAACTTAACACTCATTCATCGTCTGCAATACAAGTCCAGCTTCACACACCGAGCTGTGTTCTAAACGGCCTTTCGTGATGTCCGCATCCTTATGATAGAAAACATTTGTCGAGGTGGTTTGACCGCAAAATGAATCGAATTAACTGAATATAGCGGAAATAATCTTATCCATTATTATGGGAGATAAATAGAGTGCGTTTTTACACAATGATCTGATATCTCAAACCCACTATTAGTGGATATGAACAAATCAAAGTTTTCATAGTTAGGTTAAAACAATTAATGCCCTGATTTCTATAAATACTTTTTCTTAACTCCATAACCAGTCCTACTCATACTCGTTTTTGCGTTGTTACGCTTATTCATGCACAAAAGGATTTTGCAATGTTATGAATATAATAATAAACACATTTGGCTTTTAAATAAGAATCAGTCGAAGGAAAAATAACAGGTCTGAATCCAAATTATAACTTACTTTTCCATTAATCTTCTCGAAAACGAAGACTCTTTCCTTCGTTCTGGTAGCAGGTGAGTTTGGGTGTAGTCGAATTTGATTATCGATTTGACCTGAGGACAATGTACGCTTTAATGTAGGCAAACTCTGTCGGTCCCGGCTTCGAGATTGTTCCTCAATTGCCAGTGGCCTACAACCTCTCCTTCCCCTCCAGGTGGATCCCGGAGGGGGTTTCGAAGCTAAAATCGGTGATGTTGGATCGGTATGGATGACATCGTCTTCACTTGCACTACTTCCACTTATCGAACTACTTATTTCACTAATTTCACTCATTCCGTCGGAGAGATCATATCGCCTTGGTGTAGAGGTGATTTGACCATTACCTAAAATTATGAGGGTTTTCAGGAAAGGTCTTTCTTAGTATGAAAGTCAAATAATTTTATCACAAAATTAAGCAAAACATTCCGGGTACAAACCTATCCGAGCAGCTATAAAATATGATCTAGCCACTTTCAGTTCACGAAGTAGTCAAATTGTGACTTCGAAATTAGCGGGGACATGGCTACCATTTTATTTAAAAATCAACAAAGCACATGGGTTCACTAGGTACCTAGAATTATCATATTTTAAGTGGAAAACTAGCTTAAGACGAAAAGTAGAACACATTCACATCTAACCTATTTGAGAAACTGAAACCTGAGCAATACATATTACACCATGTGCATTCCTTTTTTACGATTCGAATTTAGACCGAAATACTGGGAAATAAGTAAAATTTGAGTATAATTTACTGTTCTTGAAAAAGTTTTGACATCAGCAGATATGATGAATCAGCTAAATAGCCTCACGAAACAATTTCCTTTGAAAACTCAGCTTTAAATTCAACTGATATAAAGGATTCCATGTTTTGAATAAACCAATGAATGAGATGAGGTGTAAGAACACCATAGGTTGTGTTAAGGCCTTACGTGAAATACGGGTTACTTAATCTTTTGTGGAAATGATACATCTTCTGTTCATATGCAGGCGAAAATCCTTCAGTTGTGAAACAGCTATTGTAGTTAACAATTTCTCAAGATGAATGATCCATAATCGAATGAGGGAAGGGGGTTGTTTTATGAGGGGGGATAGGAAGGCGTAAATACTGATGTTTCAAATCTAAAACGTAATTTTATCATAAGAACTTAAGTAGGCTTAGAGTTCACTTGTTAAAACCCACTTGAGGAAGCATTGGGTTGTCGGAGAATGGATCCTCTGTATACAGTCGCAACTCTCATAATGATGGAATCGCCGCAATTTTTTATGCATTCAACAACGTCTTCATGGCAAACATCCGTGACATCTTGACCATCAATCTAAAAATGAAATATTTGTTTCATATTTTGTTTTAACGTTATCAAACATAACTTCCAGAGACCTCTCTTTTGTTAACTTATGTCAGCATCAAACCGGTGTATTTATTCAAGGAGAAATTCTGAGTACACTTTCTGTTACGTAAGTACCATAATGCTATTTTACTTCCGAAACAATAGGAGGACAAATTTGTGCAACGAAAAACAATGATCTTTATTTATTTCAGATTTTTAATGACTGTCAAGCAAGTCCTATCACACTGTCATGCAACTTTTTAAACTTGTCAAGGCTTGGTAAACATTAAGCGACCTAATCTGATCATAACTTTAATTTTCTTTCAAAATTATTTTTCTGCTTGAACCCTTTTTAAAGGAGATTGAAAATGGAACTCAATCGATAGCTGGCGGAGATAAATTACTACTGAAAACCAAACTTCCCTGTTGATGTTCAAATTTCCTTTCAATTATCTATTTATTGATTACACCAAGATGCGCGCTATTGCTCATGTCTTGAAAGCAGACAAATTTGAGCAACTCTCCAGTCAGAGCGGAAGCATTTGCCAGAATGGATTGAATACGGGCACATAAAAGAGCCGATGAGAAGGCCCAATATGCAGTCGACTGCAATCGCAAACTACTTTACATGCACGGAGGAGGATTTCAACTCTTTTTGTACATCGTTCCACTTTGTGTCAATATAACTTTGCTCTCTTCTATTTTAGTTGCAATTTCAAAAAAATTCTTTTTTAATAAATACCCACATTGATTCAGATGCCTAATGAAATTGCCCACACAATCGTTTAGAAGACTCAAGTACATAGTGCATAATTACAATCATGTCTAATCCGGTAAAACAAATCAATAAGTTAGGATACCTTGAGGAAATGATAGAAAGAGCATTAACGATAGCAATAAAAAGACATAGGTTTTCAGCGGTTAGCAAATGAGGTCTAGTGTAAGTAGAAAAGTTACAGAAGCCAATCTTCCTGCAAAGGCCCAACACTTTCGACAGAACTAACACTGCTATCTAAAACGCCGATAAATTAATTAGGCTTTCCAGTCTTCGTTGTGCCCTACGTCTGGATAGATCAAAGCGATCTCACTGTTTTCAAGTTACATCTTATGCTAGGTTGACAGGGATACTTATAGTATATTTTTTTCTGCATCATATGGTAAAATGATTAGCTTGTCCCAGTTTGTAGCCGATGTACCTCAACAATGTAATCGCCTTTTCTTACACCCGCATGATCGGCAGGACCGCCCGGGACAACGGAGTTGAAGTACTGATTGGAAGGAGTACTGGGCGCCACCTCTTGCCGGACGTTTCGAATAAGGACATTTCCTATAATGTGGATCAAAAGGATAAACGGCATATATTTCAATTGCTTACCTATATATTCTAATGCTAAGGAGCTAATTTAAGTAGTAATTGTTAATAATTTAAAGTACAGGCATAAGGGAATAATAGTCGACATGAGGAGATATGTCTGCTCAACATATCATATAGAAGCTTTTGAATTGGGTTGTGCTTGAAAGTTGTTGACAGTCTATGGTTCACCAGAAAAGCGCATTTATAATCGTCTTCGAACAGGAGAGAACAAGTGTCCACACTTTATAGCCAAGAAATAAATTCTGTATTATTAAGTATTTAGGTGGGAAATTTGAATTTCTATTAGTGAGGTTCACTCCTGGTAATACATTTATTTCAAATGGCAGGCTTTATGATATTTATCATTAGCCCTTAATCTTTGACTTCAGCTTCCCCCAGAGTGGGGGGGGTACATTTATAGCAGTTAATTAATAGCAGTTCATTAGTAGTCTTCTTGCTTCCCAGTATCTTTGGCTTTCTGTCCTTGTCTTTAGAGCTGGACACCGAATCAGGTGGGTCTTCTCCATTTCCTCATGTAGGTTACATAGAGGGCATGTGGGTTGAGTGTATACTCCCAGTCTGTGAAGGTGTTTTGCCAAGCAATCGTGTCCGGTACGTAGTCTAAACTCAGCAACGGCTTCGATTCTTGGCCAGTCGGGTATGTCGGAGAGTGCCACTGTCCACTGTTTCTTCTTTGTTCGAGCTTTGAGTTCGTTGTACCTTGAGGTCTGGAATTCTCTCCTGATTAAGGCCTTCATTGTGTGGAAAGACATCGGCCGGTCCATGCATTACAAAATTGTTGTCCCCTTCTTAGCAAGTGTGTCAGCAATCTCATTGCCTTTAATGCCACAGTGACCAGGAATCCATTGCAGGACCACTGTTTTGTTTTTCTCTCTCAGCAGCTCATAGAGTTTTCTACATTCCTTTATCTCAGCTGTTTTGGGTGTCTCTCTGTTTCCAATAGAGTTTATTGCTGACTGTGA